AATAAATGTAGGATTGACAATACTAGTGGAAAAGGAGAAAATGGTGAAAGATGGCTACTGTGTAGCTACACTGTCAGAGCAAGAAAAACTTCATTTTATCTTCACTTCTAGGTGAAATTTTGGCAGGAATTCTGAGGGTCTGCATAGTCAGACTACAGAGTTCAGAGAAATTAATGTAAGCTCTTTGGATATTGAATGTCCTCCAAAGGCCCATGTGTTAAAAATGAGGACACCATTATGATACTTTTGGGAGGTTGGTGGCTGCTTTGTGAGTGAGGACCAGTGGGAAGTCACCATATCATTGAGGGTGGAGTTTCAGTGAATAAGGGTATGACTTGAGCACCCTCCTATTCTGTCCTAGTTTTCTCTACCATGTACTCCCGCTTCCCCCATTATGTTTTACTCAAAGCAACAGGTCCAAATGACCATGAACTGAAAACTTTAAAAGTGAGACAAAACAAAGTTGATTATCCGGTATTTGTTATAGTGACAGAGAACCCATACTTCAATAGGAAAATTCCCCCCATTTTAATAAAAGCTTTCAAGTGGAAATACTGCTCAAGAACACAATCCTAGTGCTGCTCCATTCTGACTTTACCCATCACAGACTATCACATTTGAGTCTCTGAAAACAGAGACTGCACCTTCACTCCATCATATAAAACCTAGCAAGTTGCCATATTTCACAGACTTCTTCAAGAATTTCATTTGTATTGATAACACAACTGTGTTATCAAAACGTGAGGACAAAGGGAATAAGCATAGAACATCCTTAAAATCAAATTTGCCTTTATCTCCCCCCATTGGAATTTCCCAGGTTGATAAATTAGACTTTTCTCAGTAGATAGTAAAAAGAATGGTCTGGATTTTAATCCTTAATTCACTATATCCTGACTGTGGAAATTTGTGTAAATGTTTAAAACATTCTGTGCCTCAGTGTTCTCCTTTATAAAATGGGCTAGTGTCAAGAGGTACCTCATAGGAATATTAGTAAGGCAAATTCAAAGAACCTAAAAACACATTTTCCCTTAGTAGACAAGTGTCTACAACTACAACCAAATGATATGGCGATAGAAAATACACTTACCATCTCACATCTTTAGGAAAACAAAAGGCAAGGATGCTGTAGCTAGCTATTTCATACATTTTGCAAGCATCTATTATGTCCCCTAGGAGAATTCCATATCCAAAACTAATTTGTTACAAAAGTAATATTAATATGTAATTAATGCTGGGGTAGATATGAAGAAAATACAGAGAAAATTCTGGTTTTATCAGATTAAATAATTGTTATGAGGTGAGCTCTAAACAGAAGAGGCAAAAGGGAAGCAAAAGAAAAGTAGACAGAAAAAAAAGGGGATTTGGGGAGTTGGCTTAAAGATGGAGCTAGTTTTTATTTTGTTATTTTTTGTCTTACTGCTTTTTTATTTTGCAAGTTATTTTTTGAGAGAGATAAAAATATATTGTATATAAAATTTTTAAACAAAAAAGAAACTAAAATGTTTAAAGACTTCAGTCTTACTAGAAGAAACGAAATTATGCTAACAACCTTGATTGAATTTAAAAGAGAATTGTGTATCTCAGATGATAACCACTCAACAAATCCAACCCTTGTATAGGAAAACTTCTGATCAACAGAAACAGTGAGATGACAATATATGAACAAGTGGTCAATTTTTGATAATTAAAAAGTTGGATCTATTGTTTATGCATGTTTTACTTGAATGCATGTATGTGAACCACATGCTTGCATGGTACCTTCAGAGACCAGAAGAGGACATCAGATCCCGTGGAATTGGAGTTATAGCCAGTTGTGAACTGCTGAGAACTCAATTCAGGTCCCTTGGAAGATCAGCAAGTGCCTCAAATTGGGAAATAAAACTTTGTTCCCTGAAGTGGCTGTTGTGAGGACAAGATGATTTAAAGAACCTAAGGGTGTTCTGCAAACTTTAAGTCATGCAACTGTTCTGTGCTCCAACAGAAAAAAAGAATAATCAACCTGGTTGAAAAAAAAAAAACTAAATTGAAGCAATTAAGAACTTAGAGCCTGTGACATTCCCCAGGAGAAAGACTAGGGCTCTGCAGGTCAGCCTCATCTCCCCTAAAGAAATAGTGCAGCATAGGAGGAGTTGAAAAAATGAAGGCCCATTCTCTTTCTTATGCTGACACCCTTCTGAGCATCAACAAAATGGGAAAAATCACACCTGCTCTGATAAGGTGATAAGGGCTGTGTGAGACTTAAACAAGGTAATGTTTGTGGATACCTGATAGAAACAAACACCAGGATGACAAGTACAGCACTCCTCTTCTGCCTGGGTGTCCAGCTGTTGGGAGCAGGTGTCTAGACTAGCCTCTGGCATACCGTTAACCCAAGGAAACTCCTGTCTGCTGGTATCATGAACACCTAGTTTTTACCTTTGGCTATGGTGGGTGGCTTTTCAAGTCTATTTCTCTCTCTGAGCTTGTTTCTGTACCTATAAGAAGTTACCTTTTAGCCAGTAGCTTTCCAATAATGGTCATTATACACAGCTGGAGAGGTAAGTAGCAGATGATAAGTAGAAAATTCCCCTTTGTTTATAAGTTCCTTCTCCCACTATCAAATCATCCCCCCAAAGGCAAGAAATCTTTTTATTAAATCATGCAAGAAAAGCTGGTCAGATGGAAAGGGAGGAGTACCTTCCCTATCACTGGACTTAGAGAGGGGCAGAGAGGAAATGAGGGAGGCAGGGTGGGATTGGGAGGGATTGAGGGACGGGGCTACAGCTGGGATACAAAGTTATTAAACTGTAAATAATATAAAAAGTAAAAAAATAATTAAAAATAAAAGGGGAAAAATAAAGTTACTATAAGCAAAAAAAAAAAAAAAAAAAAAAAAAAAAAAAAAAAAAAGCTTTAGCCACAGTATGAGTTGATAAATCGAGTCTGTGGCATGAAGCAGCTGAATTTCAGCATAATTTGTTATACTTTAATTTGAAAACCAATTTCCAGCTATTTAACTAGCCACACTTCTCCTGGTCTTTTACAATTTCTGTTAATGCTGCCTTGATATGATCAAAATTTTCTCCCAGTATTGCCTTTCTTTTTTTATTTAACTTTATTTACTATTTATTTATTACAATTTGTTCACTTTGTATGTGCACTGCAGCCCCTCCTTGTCTCCTCTCAGTCCCATGAATCCTCCCTCTTCTCCCCCTATGCCCTTTCCCTAGTCCACTGATAGACTTCTTCCCCTTCTATTTTATCAGGTCTCATCAAGGCTGGCTGCATCATCTTCCTCTGTGACCTGGCAAGCCTGCACTCTGCCCCCAAGTGGAGGTGATCAAAGAGCCTGCCACTGAGTTCCTGTCAGAAGCAGCCCCATGTACCCCTTACTAGGAAACCCAGTTGGGAACTGAGAAGCCAATGGGCTTTCTTTGAACAGGAGGTCTAGATCTTCTCCATGCATGGTCCTTAGTTGGCGTATCAGTCACTGCAGGTCCAAGTGTTTTGGCTCTGTTGTTCTCCTTGTGGAGTTCCTGTCCCCTCCAGGTCTTTCTATCTCCCTCTTCTTCCATAAGGATTCCAGCACTCTGCCCAAATTTGGCTATGAGTCTCAGTGTATCCTTTGATATCCTGGTGGGTAGAGTCTTTCAGAGTTCCTCTGTGGAAGGATACTTTCCTGTTCCTTGTAGCTAAACAGAGAATTCTCAACAGAGGGATATCGAATGGCAGAGAAACACTCATAGAAATGCTCAACATCCTTAGTCATTTGGGAAATGCAAATCAAAACAACCCTGAGATTTCACTTCACATCCATCAGAATGGCTAAGATCAAGAACTCAAGTGACAACACATGCTGAAGAGGATGTAGAGAATGGGGAATCCTCCTCCATTGCTGGTGGGAATGTAACCTTGTACAACCACTTTGGAAATTAATCTGGCATTTCTTCAGGAAATTAGAAATAGTGCTGCCTTAAGATGCAGCTATACTATTCCTAGGCATATACCCAAAAGATGCCCCACCATTCAATAAGGACATTTGCTCAACTATGTTCATAGCAGCACTATTAATAATAGCCAGAATCTGGAAACAACCTAGATGTCCCTCAATGGAGGAATAGATACAGAAATTGTGGTACATTTACACAGTGGAATACTATTTAGCAATTAAAAACAAGGAAATCATGAAATTTCCAAGCAAATGGTAGGAACTAGAAAAGATCATCCTGAGTGAGGTAACTCAGAAGCAGAAAAACAGAAAGGATATATACTCACTAATAAGTTGATATTAGCCTTATAATATAGGATAAACACACTAAAATCTATAGCCCTAGCTAAACAACAAGGATGACCCTAGGGAAGATGCTTAATCTTTTTTTCAGCAGGGCAAACAGGATAGACGGCAAAAGTACCAGTATTGTCTTTCTTATGTGAAATGAAGATGCCTAAACTGGCCAAAGACCAGCAGAGTTGTCCATTTTCATTATATCAAAGTTTATGTATAAAAGTTGAAAAGTCCCACTGAGACAAAAGGTAGACAATGTGAATAACATGTTCAGCATCTCAGAGAGGAATGACAAAGATGACTCGTGACCATAGACATCATGAGAAGAGTTCATTCTCAGTGCCACATGTTTTCTTTCTACTGCTTCCGTTACAGTTTGCCAGCCAAGTAACTTTCAGGTTGTTTATTCTCTATACTCTCTCTGGTATTCTTTAACATAGAGAAACTTCATTCACTTGTCAATAAAGTCACAGGCCATGTGCAAACCAATGTAAGAAGCAGGAAGTTATGGATTCTCAGCATATTAGATCAGAGTAAACCAACTGTTTCTCAAATTTTTTAATGTGCATAGAAATCTCTTGTGGGGTCTTGTTAAAATACGGATTCTTATTCCAGATGTCTAGGGTAGATCCCAAGAATCAGCATTTCTAACAAGTCCCCAGGTAATGCCAATGCTGCCACTTATGTTTTCATTAATCCTATTTCTAAACATTCACAGTTATAGTAGTGATTCATTTTCTTTTAAAGATTATTTATTTATGAATTTTATGTATAGCTTTTTTTTCTGCATGTAATTCTGGACACCAAAAGGGGGCATTGCATCTCATGGGACTACATATGTAGATGGTTGTGAGCCAACATGTGGTTGCTGGGAATTGAACTCAGGATCTCTGGAAGAGCAACCAGTGCTCTTAACCGCTGAGCCATGTCTCTGGCCCTGGGATTCATTTTCACTTGTACCTTGGGACAGTTGGTAAATAGCCATCTCTAGTTTCCAATCTTGGATTTGTATCAATTTCTAGAGTCTGTTTATGAACATTTTCTTTTTCACCTCCCTAGGCCTCAAGTTTCCTGATCTACAAAAGAGAATCACACCAGCTATCACATGTTGACATTTTGAGGCCTGAAAGAATGACAAAGCTATGTTGCAAAGTGGAGAATAGATGAAGACTAAGGTCCAAAACAATAAAAATCTTTACACTGGGTTCTCCTTAGGCTTTTACAAAGGATAGGTAGTGGGTAGGCCATCAATACTTATAGACTGAAAGATTTCCATGACGAGCCTGCAGATGGAGGACATCTATACAAGAGAATCTACACACTTTATTGAAAAATCACATCAATGGGTTCAAGGATCTCATCTCATTCTTTTCTCTGATTTCACATAGAAATGAAACCATATAGGCAATCTTTTAAGGTCTCTATAAGTGTCCATGACATAAAGTATTGCATTTCTCTATGAAAATGAAGGCTTTTCTTCATTGAAAATATCTTGTCAAGTTATCTTGCTTCTCTCTGGATTTTCTGTTGCTGCTGTTTCTAAATCTTTCTAATGTGTCAAGGCCACTTGTCTGCTGCTACTTTAATAACAGCTTCACTGATCTATGTTCTCTCAAAAGTAATTATTTTACAAGTCGCTGAACTAATTCTTTTACTTTTTGTAGTTCTTACAGAATAAAGGAAAGTCTTGAAAATGGAAAGATGCTTCTCGATTGTAGCCCATTATTTCATAAGTAGTCTGCATGACACTATTTTACTATTTAAATTGAAAACTTAATTTTGTCCTGTGGTATCTGGATACTTCATAACACCTCTTTTGCAACTTGAAATAAAATAATTCAATAAAATTTCTTTTATTAAATGACCTGATTTTGCCTTCACCCCAGAAACATTTTGTAGGGATATTACCCTAGGACATCAAATTCCATGGAGGCACAGCAAACCTTCCTGCTCATACTACATGTATGGATGTCACCAGCCTTCTGGATAAAACCGTGACATACTCTTTAAAAAAATGACCAAGGCAAAGAATTCACAGCTACTTATCATAACAAATTCTTCACTTTACAAGGTGAGATTGGGTGACCTTTTAAAACATGTTACCAAATAGGTAAACTCAACTTTGAATTACCTTTCAACCTATGTTTTACTGCCTTATGAAGTGGACTTGCACCACTTCCTTCCCTCACTGTTTTCCTTTCCTCAGTGTATTCTGTATTAGGAACATAGGAGTCAAGTGTCAATCCACTTCTGGTAATGTGGCCTCTGTTTAGATACCCACCTTAGAATGACATAGGGAAAATTACACAGGGTGCAAATTCAGAAAGGCTTGGATGCAAATCACACATGTCTGTGGTAGAGCCACTAATTTAATGCAACTGGGTACTTTCTTAATCTGTACAAGGGGATGAGTACTTGCATGATTGTTACCAGGAGGAAAGAGTAGGTTTTGAATGACCTAGTATTTAGTGGGTGCTTAATAAGTGTTAGCACTTTTGTTGTCACTATCAATTCAAAACTGAACAGTTATCTTTTTGTGAGGGTTGCTGTTGACTTCCCATAGTTGTTCCTCACACCATCACCTCTTCTGATAACCTTATCTGAGTGAGTATCTATGCATCAAGCATAGGCTAAGCCAGTCCCCTTTCATGACAGTATGCTTCACCACAGAACATTTTGTGTTTTAGAGCAGATTGCCAAAGAGAGGGGCTTTGTTTCCTTCTTTAAAGAGAGTTAACTGAAGATGCAAAACTACCACGCTTAACTGCTCCCTGGCCTCCAAAATGGATGGCCCCCATCTTCCTCAGCTGAGTTTTCATCCATGTCCCATGTAACACAGCAACCACAGGGTGAAGTTTCTAGACACTTCTATTGGAATTGCAATGTCTTTCTCTGCTTTTCAATAGTATTTAACATTTTTAGTGCTTACCATGGTATTTTACACACACACAATAAACACAGATTCAGACTCTCTTAATAAACTTCCATGGATCTGAAGCCCTACTGACCCAGTCCTGTGACCAAATTCTGCACATATGCTTGCTTTCACTCAGTAACAGAGAGGATACCACTCTAAGAGCAGAGCTCAGTAAGAGCCCCACTAGCCTTGGAAGCCTGCTCATCTGCACTGAAACAGGAGCATTTGCACTCTGAAAAACAGGGCTCAGAAATGTCTAATCCTCAGATTCTCCGTGTACTGTACTTTTGTTTTAGTGCATTTTCAGTGACTCCAACAGTAATGGAAGGGACCAAGGGTTTATATCTTGAAATTTTCTACTCGCTGGCAAATATGAGAGGCTCAAGAAAGAGGATAAAAGCCAATACCTCCCAAAAGGGCCATTAAAGCCACCACCTACAAAGTCCTTTCCTAGATAAATGTGGCGTACTAAAAAGAACCTTATGTAGGAGCTCAGACACCTGGGATCTTGTCCTGTTGTGGTCACTAACTTGCTCTTCATGTAAACCAAGCTGTTGTTAGTATAAATGCTTTTGAAAGTTCCTTCTAATCCTTTATGGGCTGTAAAGAGTCTTTTATCTCAAAGACTGTGGTTCTTAACCTTTATTGGGTTGCAGTCCCATTTGAAATTCAGTAGAATGTTATGAACCATCTGCTCAGAAAAGGCATTACCCTCATGGAATTGTATATGTCATCTTGGGGGCATCATAGAGTTCCAGAATCCATGGGCACCTGGTTAAGATCTGGTTTTGTTTGTTTGTGGCTTTGTTTGTTTGCTTGTTTTTCAGGAAATAAAAAGGCGTATAAGCTAGAAGAAAATAAAAGGCAAGAGTAACAATTCCTTGGACTCAGTCAATCTTAACAATCTTAACAATGTTTCCTGACATTTGACTTTTTTTTTTTTAACAGAAATGTTTTCTGTTTTGTTTTATTTGTTGATTGCTGGAAAGGAAGCTATTGGGTGAAAGTAGGAGGAAAGAAAATCCAGATAGGCCTAAGCTTTGACATGCAAACATGCTTAGCAGATTTGTCCTCAGAGGCAAAAGCAGAAAGGCTATCATCCTAAGCCTATGCTGGGGTAGGACACTGGGAATTATTCATGTGGTCTGGCCTCACTGAATTTCAGTAACATGTCATGGTACCAGGGTGCCAATCTGGTACTAGTCAGTGTCCATGTCTTCAGAAAGAAATGACACAATTGTCCAATATTCAGCTAACATCCCTCCTCTCTTTCAAATAAGTTAAACAATGGCCCCCAACTCAAGTGGTCTTTAAATCACATAAGATACCTAAATTCAATCTGACTCATGAAGAATCCAATGACCTTTGAGGAAAAAGTTCAGAGAAGATTGGAAAACTAGGCTCTCTTCTTCAATACAGGTCAGTGGGTATTTCCACTTCAGTAGAGCTTGGATCTTGAGAAAATCCAACCATCCAGTGTCCTAGGAGCTGCTCACAACAGAAATTCTGGGGAGATGAAGACAGAATACAAAGGAGAAAAAAAAATAAAACAAACATGTGTCTACAACATCGGCTCCTTATTTTATAGCTTCCCAGACACTGAAAATACAAGGCCAGAAATGAGCTGCTCTTCAGTACTGATAGCTCACAAAGTTTTGAAGTAGACCCTTTCACAACCTGGAAAGGGTCTCTCAATGCCAAGTCCTTTCCAACCTAAAAGGGAAAGAAGAAAGTAGGAAGTTAGCTAGGCCTAGACCTGGGTAAATATTTAGAAGGTATTGAGCAGTATAGTCTCTCTACTTACCCTGTAACTGGTACTTAGTCTGGAAGAGGGACTTTATATGCAACAGGCCCAAGACAGCTATCATTAGTACTAGAGACTGTGCCTTTTACCCCACCCCCAATTCCCTAAAAATCTATCAACAGGGGAAGCAAAATCCTGATAGTAAAACTTCTGAGACTACCGCCCCACTCTTCTCCCTTACATGGTAGCCACAGCCTTTATGGTCCTTTCAGTATTGCCAAACTTCCTTTGACCAGGCCTTCGTTTTTAAAGCTGATAAGGAGAGGCTTATCTATCTCTAGGCCAAGGAGGACTGGCAGTGACAGGAACAAAATAGAAGGCTAAGGAGCCGATGGCAAGCCAAACTCCAGATACCTGGACTTCATTAATGTGCATATTGGTTCATGTTATGCCAGAGATCAGATAAGCGAGCAATCAAAAGTCCTACGCAGAGAAAGACATTTCGCTGACCCCCAAGTCTCCTGTGACCTTAGTAAGTCACTTATCCCCTCTGAACTTAAGTTCCTTTGTTTGTTGAGTTAGAACACTTCGTATTCTCCTTACTTCTGGCACATGATGTGGATCAAATAAGATCATGGATATGAATGTTCTGTGCACTAGAAAAATATAAAGGACTACGGAAGGTAGTTCAGGTAGGAAGGACTGAAAAAGCGATGTGGTCTGAAGGAATAAAGTCCCACTACAAATACTTGGACATCTGTTATCATTTCAAAAGGGAAGTCACTTATTTCTTTACAGACTCAAAGACTTATAGAGTTCCATCATCTCATTTTACAAACAGAAATTGAGATGAAGAAGAGGAAATATGCTTGGCCAAAATATTACAGCCACATATTCCCGATGAATCCAACTAAGAAACAACCGGTAAATAATGTGTCTGAGGAAGAACAGAAGCGGAAGAGAACTTCAAATTGTACAAAACCTCACAAGTGAAGTAAGTTTAAAGAAAAGGTAATTTTAGGATCATGAACTGAGGCATGGAGTAAGTTTTCACCCTCTGAACTTATGGGGCATTCCAGTTTTCAAAATCCTAGATGTCAAAAAAAGGGGGCTAAATTGAAGAACAACTTGTAATGACAGGTAGAAATAACATACCTGTGGCCTCAACTCTCATCTCCAGGAAGTTTTCCTTGAGAACTGTGGGGGAAAACAAAAGAGATTTCAATAAAGCCTTTGAAATTAGGGCTAAAAAAGGTAAATGGCAAAAAAACTCAGTTGACTAGTAAAATTTTCTGATTAGGGAATTTCTTGATTATGAAATTATTCTGCTCAGACCTTTTACTGAATTTAATTTTATTCTTCTAGGTTGGACAGGTTTATAAAACCCAGTATTCTATCCTTGAAGCCATCTTTCAGTCGCCAAAACAATTTTTGAGTACTAGACTATGGGTGACTAGATAAAATACACAAGTTGGCCAAAGACCCCAGTTTACATCCTGCGATTACCCCTACTGGTGAGAAGGGCAAAAAGGCAGAAGTATCATGTAAAAGATAGACTCCTTTTTTCTTAAAAACCAAACCAGCTCCACTTGGACTGTTGATGAGCTTAGATCAGCCCTAAATTAGCCTTCCTTACTCAGCTGAGAACAAGTTGGGGGACAGACACAATCACAAAAAATAAATACCCCAACAATATGTCCAGAGCATCCCATATAACACCTGGTTCCCGTATCTATATCTACAGCCTTCTATTTTTCTCTCATCTCTTGAAATTGCTTATAACTATTTGCATAAACTATCTTATCCCTATTCATGGTTTCAATTCCATCAAATACTGGAAATCTTTCAAAGTGTCACTTCTCATATTGTGGATGCCCCACACTAGAGTTCTATAATATAATAGTTATACCTAATAGTTCTGTTACTAAATCTATGCAGGCCACACTCTGACAATTAGATTAAGTGGCAGTTACTCATTTGGGCATTTCTACCTGGAGGTCCTACACTGTCTTCACAGTCAGCATTTGAAATTGAAATGTGAGACAGCAAACTGTCTCACAAAACCTGTTTCTTTATGCCTAATTATATCATCTACCAAATTGCCCAAGTTGGACTTTTCTCTCTCAGAATTTCTATAATGCCTCACATTTGAAAAATCAGCAGAGTCTGGTTGAACTGATCTCAAATCTGTCCTTTTATTCCATTCCTATGGCAATGCCTTAGGTCAGGACTTTAATGAACTCTTGCCAGCAAGATTTGTTTCCTAATTAGTCTCCTTGCTTCCAATCTTTACCACCAGAGTAATCTTTTTACCACTCAGTGTGCTCAGAATATTCACCACCACTTAAACATCTTCCATGACCTACCCCCAGTGGACTATAATACAAAGAGCAAACACCTTAATATGTCATACAAAAACCTTTGCAGTCTGGCTCTAATCCATTTTCCTGGTCTTTTGTTCAGCTAACATTTCTCCTCTCACCCCTACATTATAGACAAAGTGAAACACTAATCACTTCTGAAGCTTTCCTGCCTCATAAAATACACTCCTCTCTTCTTTTCCTGACAAATATCTAATAAATTTTCCTTTGAGTTTTTCTTTTTTAACTGTTGAACCTCTTCAACAAGGGAATAAGGAACAGATGCTATCAAAATGGCAGGCTACAGTCAAGTATACAAATGGAAAACTAAAAGGGGTAAGGCAATAGTTAAACAACTCAGTATTTTTTTTTATTTGAAATAATAGCAGTTGTTAACAATGACCATATCAGGGATTAGTCACATAATTAGTAACATCTTGCTTAGCCAACTTGTGAAAACACTAATGGAAGGGGTGGATTCATGTGGGAGGAATATTTCCTGTGTGGGTTCTGAGTAAGAAGAACCTATGGGTAGCCAAGATAGCACACTGAGGTATATTTGTCTTACCTAAATTCCTTTCTTCCAAGGCAGAATCTTAGGACAGACAACAGGATTAAGTCTAGGTTCTGGAAGCCCAGATAAACAGTGATAGAATACCATAGGCTGAAGTACCTGCTTTAACCAAGGTCCTCTGGGTTTGTGGTTGGTCTAAGTCTGAGCACTGGCTGACAAACCATTGGTAACATTACCTATCTTTCCATGTTCTCAAAATCAGCTTGGCTACAGTTTCCCTAGTGAAACTTAGCCTGCACTAAAAATTCTATTAGACTTTCTTCATGCCTCTTCATCTTCCCTTCTTCATGCCTTGACAGCACGTCCTAAGATACAGATCAATCTCCCAAATTTTGCTGTGTATCTCTATTTTACCAAGCCCCAGAAATCAAGGACTTGACCTCACTTTCATCTGTTACAGTAGAATAAGTGATAAGTTATTGTTTAAACAGAATTTGGCTGAGTCCAGAGTTGCCTATGGCTGCCAAGCTACACTAGAGTAACTCTTCATGTGGAATCACATCTTGGATAATTATGTCCCATGGTTTTTGCAAGAGAATGTCAAACTTATCCTAGCCTCATTGATGATAAAGGTGCATTGTTCTCCTTTTAACTGACATAGAAAAGTTCACTCTTTTTCTTTGCCAGGAAGCACAATTTTAAAACTCTCTGATTAGTCACATAGAACAAATGCACAGCAAACACCCTAAAAACTAAGCAATCATTCCTCTAGGTGTTTTTTGTCCAAATGCTCCCAAATGCCAAGGGCTTGGACAGTTTGTACCAGCATTTGAGAAAATTTAAAAACAAATGGAAGAAAGGATGATCAGAAGGAAAAGAAGTGAGGAACTCAGGAAGAGAGGGATAAAAGGAAGAAATAATGGGTTCTCAAGGCTCCACTCTACAGATCAATTTTAGTGAGTCTAGAGTACATGCCAGGAATCTGGAGTGATATTTTTACAACTTTTCAAGATATTTAGATAGATAGAAAGTTGATAATCATTGATTGAACCAACTATTTATACTTACTCCAAATCCACAGGTAATAGAATGTTATCTACTGCATGCCTTTGTCAGCTGACCTTATAGTATGGAGTCTAAATAAGTGGGAAAAAAAACCTTCTTTGGATGTAAAGTTTTTTCCAATATAGCTTGGGATATGTGCTGGCTAGCTTTATGTAAATATGACACAAGACAGATGATCATCTGAGAGGAGGGACCTCAATTGAGTAAAAGACTCCATAAGATCAGGCTGTAGGCAAAACTGTGGAGCATTTTTCTAGTTAATGATTGATGGGAAAGGGCTTGTCCAATGTGGGTGGTACCACCCCTTGGATGGTGGTCCTGGTTCTATAAGAAAGCACAATGAGCAAGCCATGAGGAGCAAGCCAGGTAGCAGCACTGCTCCATGTCCTCTGCATTAAATTCTACCGGTAGATTCCTTTTCTGATTTCCTTCAGTGATGCTCAGTGATGCAGAAGTATAAGCCAACTAAACCCTTACCTCCACAATTTGTTTTGGTCATGTTGCTTCATCACAGCAAGAGTAACCCTAACTAGGACAGATATGTGTTTATCTGTCCGTATAAATATAGCAATATTTACATGTGCACAGTATGTCGTGAGAAAGAAAGAGAAAAAGAAAAAAACTGGAAAAAAGATTAAGAAAAGAGACAATAGAAAGAGGAAAACACAAGATAAGAAAAACAAGAAGGGTCGCATAAAGAGAACACAGGCAGAGAAAAACAAAAAATACAGAAAGAAAAAGGATGGTAGGGACACAAGTAAGAACAAGTAAGAGAAAAAGTCAGGACACAGATGAAACATAGAAGGTGACCTACAATAACTGCAGAAAGAGGGGAAGAGAAAAAGGGGGGAAGAGAGAACAAGAACTATAAAGAAACAGAAAAGGAGATGGAAAGAGCAGAAATTGATGGGATGCTCTTGATGTATTTATTGAAAACTGCATTTGCTTTTTCTTGTGTTTCGTGTCTCTTACCTTCCAGTTTTCCGGGAAGCTGTTTCAAAGAATCTGGTTCTGGATGCCACCCTGCAAATAGAAGCCAACCCAGTCTGTTGAGTTGCAGTGGAATACATGTGAGAACCAAACCAATGAAAAGGACATTATACTCAAGCACGAGCCTTACTTTTTCTGGCAAAAAGCCAAGGATTTGGAAGAAGCTCAAATAACAGAATGAGACATGGCTCAGAAGCCAGAGGTACTCCAACCAACAAATAAACCCTTTACTACCTATTGATCCAGAATGGTCAAAGTTTGTGACCAACTCAGACCTGTCTTTTGAAAAAGAAATGAAAACAATCTTCTGTTTCAACGTGTGGTTTAGGGCATATGCTTTGCTAATTTAGCTGAAGTTGTTGAGGCTTTTTTTCTTACCCCAATTTTGCAATTATGGAAAAGAAGAAACACAAGAAAAAGAGGAAGCAGGAAGTAAGATGCTAAGAAATAAGAAGGTCCTGAAGAGAGGACAGTCAGGCTGGTTATGGCCAAGCAAAGCAGGTCCCTTAGGTCTACTTCTGCGCTGGCTCCCCAGCTTACTGCCCAGCCACAAGAAGGCCTCTCGATGTCAGCTCATCTCCTGTCCTGTAAGAGGATCTTTAGAGGACCTGAGTCGTTTTGGAAAAATTTTTAAAATGTTCCTTGCAAGAAAGTAAGAAGAAAAAAGCCCCAAGCACAAGCACAATGACAAGAGGAATGTATTCATTAAACTACTTTAAAACCAGTAGCAATAATGCAAAATAACGAAAAGACTTCTAGAGTAAAAAACTGAAAGTAATTTTTCTACTGTGCAGACATCTGGAAGGCTAAGAAAAATGGGTCTTTATCTAAGATTGTGCAGAAGTCTTCCTCTTTAGCTGAGCTTTGTGTGTTGAGTGGAAAACTCCAGACATGAATGACATTGGATAGTCCCCTAGAATATGAAGTGAATGATGTTTCATGTGTTATAGCTAGCAGAGATAGTGATACTGAAGGCACTTTTAGTGGCCAGCGCAGGCCTTAGGTCAAGTTGAGGAAGAACAATACTTACACGGATGATGGGACTTCCCCTGCATTGCCAGCCAATGTTTCTGGCTTTGGCTCTGGCTTTTGTGAAGTACTGGCCCGGCAAGGAGGGTCTGGGGGCCTCACTGGAGGACGGATGATTGTTTGTTTTTCTCCTGGGGGCCGAACTTTGCTGAAACAGTCAGTATCTCCTAAAAGAAAAAAAAAAATCCAGGACATAAATAATCAACCAAACAAAATACAAAGCATTAGTAGGTACCTAAACTGAGGTTGCCTGGGCCTCCTTCTCTGGTACCCATTTTTTCTTGGCTAACAGTATCTCTTTTTGTTTTAAAATTCTTCTTTCTGATGTCCTTTTGAAAGCCCACATTTAAATCTGGGTTGCACAACTTCATGTACCTTCTGTTTGTTATGAATTTCCTAATTCTATATTTGCTCGACTTTATACTTCAGAGTAGCAATACAATTCAGGTTTACAGAAATTGAAGGGATTAAGTTAGGAATCAGTATGTTTACTATAGTGCCAGCTACACAATAGATGATTGATAAGGAACTTGAATTTGATAAATTCATTGCCACTAAAATTCAGATCCTGAGACTAGAGAAATGGCTTAGCTGTTGAGAGTACCTACTGTTTTTGCTAAGAACCCAAATTAGGTTCCTGTACCCATGTCAAAAGTTTCACAACAACCTGTAACTCCAGATCCAGGTGATCCAACATTCTTTTCTTAACCCTGGGCAACTGCACTCATGTACATATCTACATACCTATGCACATAAATTTAAAAATTAAATCTCAAAAGATTCTAGGTACTTTTCAACATTAAAATACTCTCCTAACTCATCTTCCTACCTCAACATTTCTGGCTTACAAATTAATTGGAAGAAATAAACATATAGTTTTTTTATGAAATGGTCCTGGCAGGGTTATGGCAAAACAGATGTACTCACACACTGCTGGTGGCACTATAAATTGGACTTATTCTATCTATATACCCATCAAGCATTCTGGAACAAGCTGCATGAAGCATAAAATCATGCATAGGCAATAATTCATACTTGTTTATCCAGTAATTCCACTCTGGAGAAAAAGCACAAAGGAATTCACCCAGGACAGAAATAAGAAAAACCAATTGGCACAAAACACATACCCTAATAGCAAAACGTCAGACCCAACCATAAAAGCTAAACAGTTTATTCTTACAAGCAATTAACAAATACATATTACATATAAACTGACAAGAATTTGGACAAGACCACAACAAATATATGTATATGAAATAGTTAAAGTAAAAATGAATCCATAAATCTGGGAATGGTAGCTCACATCTGTAATCCCAGCATACAGGAGCCTGAAACAGAAGGATTGACATTAGCTCAAGGCCCCCTTGATCTACATAAGCCTAAGCAACAGAGTGAGACTCTGTCTCAACAAATGAAGGAAGCAAAATTTCACAGAGTACTCTCATCCCAATAAAGACAAAATTAAAATAGCCATATATGTAACAATGTAAGTGTACTCATAGATTTTGATATTTGCTTAATGTTAGAAGATCTTGATTTTCATTCTTTCTGCAAGATGTTTAAAGTAAAAATAAAACATTAAATTCCACCTATATAATACTGCTATGGGACTGACTTAAGTTTGCACAGGTTTACTTTTCTTCAAGTACTTCTCAGTAGCTCTAAAATGTATATTATAAAGTTCAAATTCCTCAGCATTGGTTCAAGACTGTCTTTAAGCTAGGCCCAAATCATTGTTACAGGAATAATGATTGGAAGTTGTCTACCAAGTCTACTTTACCAAACTGGTCTCTTTACCACCCCATCAAAAAAATGTTAATTTTAGCTTATATAATAGGTTACAGAAGAGAGTACAGAAGGCCTAGAATTATGACCTGGATATGTGGCTTTTTTGCTGCTTCCAGGCAGTGACTTAATCTGTGACTATCATTTTCTCATCTGGGAAATGGGTATATAACAATGCATTTTCACAAGGTTATTTTAAGAATCAAGTTATATGGCAGTGTCTAAACCAAACAGGGGTAAGTAAGTGTTAGACCATTCTGTTTCTTTCATTCTATGGACCCCTGAGCTCACATCATTTGTATTATAGCCATTCTTTAAGAGTGTGTAGGAGGAGTGAAAGTTAACACTAAGGATGTTTGAAAAGGCGGTGTAGAGATCTATTATTTCATAAGTTTCCTAAATAAATAAAATAATTTAATTGGAATTACCAGACACAGGAAATAAAGTTCCTCCCAGAAGCTATAGCTTACCAAATAAAAGACCCAGTGCCATATATAAGATATCTCCCCTCACTGTCTCTGATATGAACTCAGTGGTTGGTTCTTTGATCACCTCCCCCTGAGGGGAAAGCAGCCATACCAGGCCACAGAGGAAGACAATACAGCCAGTCCTGATGAGACCTGATAGACTAAGATCAGAAGGAAGGAGAGGAAGACCTCCGCTATCAGTGGGCTTGGGGAGGGGCAGGGGTGGAGAAGAGGAAGGAAGGGTGGGATTAGGAGAGAATGAGGGAAGGGGCTAAAGGGGGATACAAAATGAATAAAGTATAATTAATAAAATTAAAATAAAAATATTTTAAAAGAAGATATCTCCCCTCAATTTGTTCATCAGAGTTAATTTAGAGATCTCAGAACAACACAGTCTACTGTCATTGTTCTTGTCTTCCCACCACAACTTGATGATAAAACCCTATTGATGACGATACCACATGCTTTGGGCACAGAACATGGGGAAATCAAGTTAGTACTGACCAGGAAACCTCTTCCCTGATGGCTAGCTTTCATAATACCAGAAAGGTTATATATAGGCTACTGGGGCAGAGGAGTTATCAGCAGCCATACGTAACTGTTAATCCTATAAGCTAAAATAACAACTGACCTGGAAAGATATGCTCATAGGTGCAATAATGGCATGAATGTTACTGGGGTAATCAACTACTTTCTGATTGTATTAGCATCACTATAGGAAAAAGCATCTGCCTGGTACTATAATTATATCCTCAAATTCATGGTTGGGAAGTTCACTGGGACAAAGAATGAACCTACTACTATCACTTTGGTATACAGACATAGAATTGAACTGACCTCTATCATGTTTCTCACATACACAAATCAATGTAGGTCTCAAACATAATCAGAGCAGTTTATTTCCTCAATGAATAACAGTTAACACAGGAACTCACAACTAGCCAAAGTGCAGAAAATAGGTGTCTGTGGTTTTATATTCCTTCTTCACAAGGTGCAGAGACTATTGCAAAAGAAAGAATGGAAAGATTATATGATCAACACAATGTCTTCTGGACATTGAAAGATTGTTGCACTCATGAGCCTACAGCAGCTGTGTTTGTAGGGACAAGACTTTGATAATATCAAGCTAGTCAACATTCCACGATGGAGAGAGGAGGGGCCTGTAAGCCCACTCCTAGCTGAGGAGATATTGACAGCTCTTTGCTGAAAAAAAAAAAAGGAGTTAGTTTTCTTTACAGTGTGGCCCCTGTAAAGAAAATTGATATGGCCCTTTGGTATGGCTCACATATTCTTCTGGATTGCCCCCACATTCAGGAGTATGTGAAACATACACATCAGATTCAGTGGATTTTATAAAAAAAAAAAAAGAAGAAGAAGAAGAAACAAATTTGGAAGGGGTGAGAAGATGGAGAAATCTGGAAGGAGTTACAGGGAGCAGGAGGGTAAATATAAAAATATGGTATGTAGGTATGAAATTCTCAAAAATAATAAAAAATGATATAATTTTGTTTTATAAGAGCCAGATCATACCTAAGCTACATATTAAAAAATTATCCACTGAGAAATCTTAGAAAAAAGATAGGGACAGTGATTCAAGTGATTCAGATGGTACAGTATAAGTAGAAAACTACTAGAGGAATTAAGAAAACATTATTCCTGGACACAGACAGACCATCTTCCCATCTAGGCTCTATCCTAACATTTATGGGTAATATAATCCCCTTAGCATCAACCTGATTTTCTACAATTACACTGAGGAGATAGAAATACCTGGAGGAGACAGGATCTCCACAAGGAGAGCAACAGATCCAAAAAATCTGGGCACAGAGGTCTTTTCTGAGACTGATACTCCAGCCAAGGACTATGCATGGAGATAACCTAAGACCCCTGCACAGATGTAGCCTATGGCATCTCAGTGTCCAAGTGGGCTCCTAGTAAGGGGAACAGAGGCTGTCTCTGCCATGAACTCAGTGGCTGGCTCTTTGATCACCTCCCCCTGAGGGGGTGGGCAGACTTACCAGGCCACAGAGGAAGACAATGTAGCCAGTCCTAATGAGACCTGATAAGCCTATAAGAGTCAAACGGATGGGGAGAGGACCTCCCCTATCAGTGGACTTGGGGAGGAGTATGGAAGGAGATGAGAGAGGAAAGGTGGGATTGGGAGGGGATGGTGGAGGGGGCTACAGTAGGATATAAAGTGAATAAACTGTAATTAATAAAAAACAAATAAATTTTTAAAAGAAAGTAATAATCAATTTTTCCTAACAAATTTATACTGTTTAAAACATTCTCCAAGATAATTTTCATAGTAAGGGGAAAAGGAAAGAATAGAGATTTTCCACCATTTTTGTTTTATGGATAAGGAAACTGAAGCTCAGAAAGGATAAATCCACTTACCCATTACCTACATGGTTAGATTGAAATAGAGTAATGATTGAAATTCTTATCTTCTGTGTCCATATCTGCTTCTTTCCCTGGTGTCTGCTTTGTTATTAGTAGTAGCAATGAAAAATTGCAAATGACAATTATGATAACAGAAAATGAGTAAAAGTATAGTTACTATTTACTTTTATTGACAGATTTTATATTACAGGGATTGATCACAGAGTTTCACAGAGTTCCAGTTCTGGCTACTTTTATTATCAAATACTGGTTCTGTTCCAAGGATTATAAAACTATACTTAGTGATTTTTATACATTTTTCATTGTTAAGATTGTTAGGATTGGCCATAATTCTGTACAAATTCTTTTGTATTATGGAGGAAGATACCATAATAGATCCATGTGCATGTAATTTCTGAAACATATGTTGTTCCAGTTACCAGTGGTGTTGTAGCTTTCAAGCCTGGCTACACATTAGAACATGTGAACACCTTTAAATATGCAGTACCTGGATATCATCCTCAGTTTCTAGT